AGAGGCGACACTTTTGAAAAAAATCTGTGAAGCCCATGGAGTGAGGAGCTTGGAAATGTAACTCATTTGGACTACGACTCCCGTAATCCACCAGCCCATATGGCCCATGTCCATGCTGGCTAGAGACTCTAGGAGTTGTAGTCAGCAATGTCGTGGTAACCGGGGAAGTGCTCATCGTGACGGTCCCCTTAGCCAGCCCCTCCCCAATAGGAATGTCCAAAAACCTGGACTGATTCATATTAACAAATGGAGGGGCAGGTCTTTTGTAACATGAATGACTCTTAATGGTGTGTGCAAAACCAAACTATTTTCTAATGCTTTACAAGGCACCAGAGACAGCTTGTTCCTGCAAAATCCCATTTCTTCCTCAGGTACTGTAAAGATGGCAGCTAAGCAGCAGGTTTTTCCTTTAAGCTCTGAGGAACAGGGAAGCTTGACGCGATCGGTGGGGTGACCGATGATATCTGAGTCAATGTGACTCCGGCATTTTGGAGTCTTGACTCTTCCAGACCCAGCTCGGCTATCCTCAGAGCGTGCTTTGAAAAGCAATGCTTCTCTGCATGCATTTTCCTTTGGAAAAGTTTGGAATTGCGACACTTGGTTAGATCACTGCAGCCGGACAGAAAATACCAGGATCCCCAGCAGAGGCTGCCTAAAGGTCGGGACTCGCTGTCCGTCTTTATTCTGAGAAGAAAACAGCTTCCTTTGGCTCTAGAAAAGACGGGCTGCTGAGGCGCCCTCTGCATTTTTTCTCAGACAGAGAGGCACAGCGAGAGGACTGGATGACCTACAGAAGAAAACTCTCCAGAGAAAGAAGGTTGCGCTCCTCTGGGAAAGGTCTGGCCTCCAAGGCGAATCTCCACGGGGCTCCATTTTATTTGCAACTGAGAAAACGCCGTCCACGGAAGAGGAGGAGGCGGCAGATGAAAGAGATGCAACAGCAAACACAGGTCTGTTGCAGACCTCTGGGTTTGAGATCAGTTTCCTGCCGGCAAGCGGCTTAAACTCTAGGGGATCCTCCGGCAAGGGGGCCTCTTTCTGCTCCTTCATGGTTACAGACCATGTCGGATGAGAACATGGGAAGGGAGTCCTCCTGGTGGCTCGTCCAGAGCTGTGGAACTCCCTGCCAGGGGAGGCCAGCCAGGCCCTGATTGATTGATTGATTGATTTGACTTCTACACCACCTATCTATCTCCTGAGAAATTTATAATGTGGGATAGGAAGCAACAGTTGGAACTGGATATGGAACAACTGATTGGTTCAAAATTAGGAAAGGAGTACGACAAGGCTGTATCTTGTCCCCCGGTTTATTTAACTTATATGCAGAATACATCATGCGGAAGGCTGGTCTGGAGGAATCCCAAGCGGGAATTAGGATTGCCGGAAGAAATATCCACAACCTCCGATATGCAGAGGATACCACTCTGATGGCAGAAAGTGAGGAGGAATTAAAGAACCTTGTAATGAGGGTGAAAGAGGAGAGTGCAAAAAACGGTCTGAAGCTCAACATAAAAACAACAACAACTGAAGATCATGGCCACTGGTCCCATCACCTCCTGGCAAATAGAAGGGGAAGTTATGGAGGCAGTGACAGATTTTACTTTCTTGGGCTCCGTGATCACTGCAGATGGAGACAGCAGCCACGAAATTAAAAGATGCCTGCTTTTTGGGAGGAAAGCTATGACGAACCTAGACAGGATCTTAAAAAGCAGAGATATCAGCTTGCCAACAAAGGTACGCATAGTCAAAGCTATGGTTTTTCCAGTCGTGATGTATGGAAGAGAGAGCTGGACCATAAAGAAGGCTGACTTCTGAAGAATGGATGCTTTTGAATTGTGTTGCTGGAGGAGGCTCTTGAGAGTCCCTT